GACCCAATCCGAAACTTGTGTGGGTAAATCATGGATCAACCTCCTTAATTTGACATTTAAAATGACTCAATTTAAATAATCTAAGATCTAAAATGATCAAATTCAAACTCACTCAATCCAACCTAATTGTTAGGTCTATATGTATATATATATATATATAATTTCCAACGGTACAGCTAGCCGCAAAGCATAGAAAACCGAAAAGTACAAAGTGCACAACATATCACTATTTTTCCATCCCCACGTATAGAGTGGGTATGCTTCAGTTTCAATTGGCATCCAAATCGAATTATTAGTTAATTAAATTTTTTATTATTACATTTTAAAAATTATTACCTAAATTAAAAAGTTTATCAGGTTTTATTGATTTTAGTTAATTTTTTGAGAATAACTATTTGAATTGGTTTTTGTTTTAATAAAAAAAAATTTGTCTTTTTATGATTTTTAATTTTTTTAATTATTATTTTATTAATTTCAATCATTAGAAGAAATTGTCCAAGTAAATAAATAATTTAGCAAAAGATGGTGAGTAAACTTAAAAAAGAATAAAGACCTTTAAAAAATTATATAAAAAGTTTTTAGGCTAATTTTTCAAATGTACTAGCTTACTTATTAGTTTTTTATTTTTAAATATAACAATTAAAATTTAGACCAATTGAGATTTGTTTGGTTTGAATTTTAATAATAATAAAAAAAAAAACTTAAAAATTCAGTCCAACTCAACCCATTACTAATTTTTCCACTGCCTCTACTCACCAAACTCAATATTATTAAAACTTGTTACTCGTCCCAAGAGCAATTGAAATTTGAGATTAAATCAAGGTACAAAATTCCTATAAAACTATTATCACCTTGCAAGCTATGGTACCTACCTATTTTGAAGCCAAATTAGGTGAAGTTTTTTGGGATGATGAGAAAAAGCCTTCTCCATTGTCTTTGTGGAGCTTAATTAGTGGGTAAACACCGATACAATGATCATACCTACTACCATTATATTATGCAAATCACGAGTTTTCCCATCTCAAGACGACAGAAGATGGACTCAAACTCACGCCCTTGAGTTACTAGTGAGATGTCCACTGTGAAATTGTGACTCTTTCTTTCGGATTTAATATAC